ACAGTCGTACTGATGGAATGGTGTACTCAGCAAGTACTTTAAGTATATTTAAAGGTAAGTAGCTACTAGCTTACTTTTACTCAGCTAGAAAGGTTAATGTGGTACTTTTACTCTAGTACATTTTTATCTATTTATTTTACACCTTTTAACTCTGATGTAACTAAACAGATTTCCTTGAAACGTGGTAGGATACGGAATAGGTCCATGGACAGAACCCAATAAATTTTGGTGCGGATCTAGATCATGTATCAAAAACACATAATATAACATAACATAATGTAAAGTCTCCAATTACCCAACTTCAGGTGTTTGAGTACCCGGAGAAAACCCCCAGACACAGGGAGAACAGTTAAACTCCACATAAAAACCCGGCGGGATTAGATCTGGGGAACCTTCCTGCTGTGAGTTACAGTAACCGTTACAGCCAGTGTTCCATCGTGCCGCATCAAACACTTTAAAAGGTGTCATTTTTAGTATTCTTCAAAAATCTTTTATTGAACAAAAGTATTTCAATTCTCATCATGTTGTCGGTGATACAGTACCATAGTTGGATCTTAGTGATTCATATATGCACCTCCTCTTAATTTGAATATATACATACAGTGAGGACAAGAATTTAAATAACAATGCCCAATAACATTCAGATATATCGTATAAAAGCTGAGGACTCCATGATCAACACTTCCATCGGTAAACAAATGCAAGTAGCAAAAATAAACAGGAAAATGTTTGGTAGGACTATAGAGTTATTTTAATTACGACCCAGATGACGGTATATTTGGTTTGTCAACAGTGAAACTACGGCCGTTATTTAAAAGACTCAGTTACTGTTGCTGCGCCTGCCCAACGTCTCATTCTCTCACAGCAAATGGCATTTGAAATTGATCATAGTAGCAGATTTACAAATTTTTGAGACAATTGAAATGGCAAAATGCAGGTTTTGTTGGTTTTGGAAAAGCTTGTGAAAAGAATGAGATCCCTCAAAAATCCTTTATCTTCAAACACTGTGACTCAAGAATAAACAGCTTCAGGTCGCCCTTTACCAGTTGATTGGATTTTAGGGTCTTAATATTAAATGTTTTTATATAAATGTGACTTTCTTCCTGCAAAATTCTCTGTCGACACAAGATATAATTATCTTTACGCGGTGAAAAGAAAACATTTTTGGGACTCAATTCACTCACAGGAGCAGATCGAGTGTTTTAACAAAAGGTTTTTCTTTTTAATTGTTATTCTTCAGTGAGCATCCTCTTAGAGCTACAGACACAAACTGCAGAGCAATGTGACACAGCATAACGCATGAGAGCTATGAATGAATGAATGGTGAGTGCAGTGCAGACCTGGAGCCAGTAGTATGGGTACAGGGTGGCACATTCGGTTACATGATAAACATTCAAACAGGAATTCAGAGGTTTCGCCTATAGCATTAACGCTCCCCCGCCGCTGCCTCATAGAAGAATAACAGGAAGTACTGTATTCAGATTTTTCTATAACTTCACTAATAATGAATTTGATGGGAACAGGGAGGAAGTTGACAAAGTAACGTTCAAATGGGGAGAGAAGTCATGTAGAGGAATGGTGAAAATAAGGAGAAAAAGGCAAGAGAGTGATTCTGGTCACTTTGTGAAGTCGCTGTACGAGAAGACCTCCAGAGAGGCGTTTAAATTAGTTTTGAAAAAAATAACATTTAAGAGACAAAATAAAACAATGGCCAGCGACGACAGAACGACACCGGAGCAAGGTCCCTCAGAGTCCTCTCTGAACTGATAATGTCCGTCTTCTGTGTGTGGATTAAGAGCAATAATGGTTTTAACCTACGATGTGCGTGGAAGTAAATGTATCATGTGTGACATCAGAAGGAGAGCTCGACCCCCAACCAAGGCCTCAGGCGTTCTGGTAGCAGCAGGTGTGGTCACTGCATCATCCAGACCAGAGAATTATTTATATTCCTATGCACTGAGCTGCACATGAAGGATGCAGCTGGGGAAGCGCTGCCACAGTCTCGGGGGTTCAGAGCTAGAAAGACTTTCACCTCTGTCGCCTCGGGAAGGTGACGGATAAAACTCAAAAGGAGAGACTGAGTATCAGGTAGAGACGACACAGCGGGAGGGTTCAGAGCTAAGGCTTGAGTTGAGACAGTTAGGGAGAGGTGTTAGTATTACGAGTGTGTGTGAGATCCAGTGTAGATGTGAGGGAATCACAGCAGCGCTTTGACCAGGTAGAGCTTCTCTCCGTGTTCACTGGTAAAGATGGGGGCTTTCTTGTAGTGCTCCACGAGTTCATCGATGGAGTTGAACCTGCGCTGGCCGATACAGAACACTCCCTCTGAGAGCCGCACCTTAAAGTGCTTATTCTTACCCGCTGCTTTCAGAGACACCGAGAAATCACTGGGCTGCAAAATAAAGAAAGAGAGAGTAGTTGATGTGGTTCAATAAATGAGTTACACTAAAACACGTGCAGCCAGCAGGTGGCAGTATATTTTCACATTTAAACATGTCCCACATTTTTATCACATCACACTGCTCCATTTTCCTCAGGTCGATTTTCCATTTCAGACAGTTTTCTATTATTTCATCATAACTCATTTACTAGATTGTTGTTTCTGTGTGATTAATTATTATTAATTATAATCTGAGCTACATAAAAGGAATCAGCAACTATTTGTGTCATTGAATTATCCAAAGCTGCTGAAGGTGCAATTTAAATGTATGTTTTGGCTATGTCTGAAAATTTGATATTTCTGCAAACCAATTTCTATATGGGGACAAAAAAAGAATATGATTTATATAGAAACATTTATAGAGAAAATTAATTGATGAATGGAAATAATGAAAATAATATCTACTTAGGAATTTCTAGAGGAGCGAGCTCTGGGTTAAATCCTTGTGTCTGATTGGCTAATCTTGCTCTGGGTATACGTGTGAATAATTATGTGATAACTTAAACATTGACCTTAAAGTTTAGTCCCACAGCAAAAACACCAGAATCCTCGAAATGTTTACAATTCTTATAAAATGAACAGAAAAACTGTTCATAACATATATAAACTCAGTGTTTCCCATTAATCATCTAGACAGTGGCAGCCTGCTAGATTCAAATTTCTCCTGCCACAGTTTCATACTGAACCAAAATGTCTCACCTCTCGTTAAAAACCTCAAAACATGGTGTTTTGCACTGTATAGCTGCGGAGGTGACTGTACCATATGGTAATTTACGTTTATCAATGCAGTCAGAGCTCATAGTTTCAGCTACACTTGTGCTACACACACAGGTGGTATGCAAAGTGGTGTCACTCTGAATCTGCATGCGTGTGCACCCCAGTTACTGTTATAAATAGAATTAATCCTTTTGGAAACATTGGAAACTATTTTCTCTCTATATATATATATATATAAATATATATTTCCAAACGCCACTCTTCTTCCTCCTAGAATTTCTGATATATCCTCTTCTTCGTTTTCCTCCCAGCCCTTAGATGACTTCACCCCACACACTCACAGATGACTCGCTGTCTCGTATGAGGAAGTCCCCCTCCTCTCCTCTTTCGTTGAGTATACACTCGGCCTGGTGTCTGGTGACGTTGCCGTAGTACCAGTCCCTCCCGACGAACCTCCCTGAACGTGCCGGCCCAACAACACGGGTCTGTGGGGAGCTCGACGGAGAGGAAGGCAGGCCGGGCTGCTCATCCAGCACCATCACATAATTTTTAGGTACCAGGCCCAGATTGCCACGCGAGTTCTTACACTTCCACCACTCTGGGTCATTCTCGGGCTTCTCCACCACCTCCATGACCTCTCCCTTCTCAAAGTTCAGCTCCTCCTCTGTCACCGAGCTGAAGGGGTAGAGCGTTTGAACGAGGTGGAGCACTGCAACGCGACCACCTGCGCATCCATTGGCCATCAAAGTCCCTTGAGACCCTGCAGGGTAACCCCGCGTGGAATCCCCCTCACCTCCGTCTTCAGCTCCTCCGAGCTCCTCCTGGACGTAGTTGGAAGGAAACCAGCCCACGTGGCCCCCCTGGCTGCCCCGCCACCAGCCGTCACTGCACTTCTCCATTACCATGACCCGGGATGCCTTAACCAGGGTCAGCTCGTCTTCCCTCTCTGCCATGTAGGCAAACTTGACGATGGCCGGGATGTTGAGGTCATAGATTCTCTCAGCAGCTCCTCCTCCACCCCCGCTGCCATTGGAGGGGTACTCTGTATCTGAGCTTGGTGTTGGGGAAGCATCGCGGGCGCTCGTCTTCCTTTTTGTTTTTCCCAAACCTGCAGAAAAAGAAGCAGAGAAGATGGTGACGGCTGGAAACAGATCAGTTCAGTCTGGGTTTTAACTGTTGACACTCAACATGTGACATCTATTAAACTGCAGAGAGAAAAACAAGTAGTCATTTGATCCAGTATTGATATTAAAAGTATTGATTATGGCACATATAAGCATTAGAATGAATCCAAACACGTTCAAGTGCTGCAGCAACGAGAGGGGCTGTGATGAGAGAAAGCAGGTTTTAAGATGCAGGGAAGGCCTGCGCTCCACAGGGAGAGGAGGCAGTTGAGGTCAGCAGGACGCTAATTGAGGCTGCAGATTAAACTTGTGGATCCAGAGAAGCAAAGAAAACTACTTTCGGAGTAAAGGATACAGAATATCTCAGGAGAAACCTCAGTGGCGGAGGACAGATCGATGCTTCTGATAATAGAATTAACACTGGTGCACACATCGCACTGGGAGCCCCACGTCCCTTTACACACAAACCAGTGGAATCAAAGCTCGTTATCTACTTGGTATTCAGTCGACATCATACACACGCTATACTAATCAGAAAAGTGAAAATAGGTGGAGTAGGCAGGGAAATGAAAAGTGGAGCAGGCACCATGGGCTTGATAATGACAGGCACATCGTGGATCAAAGTCAGCCCCTGTCTTACCTGTCTTGACTTTTCCATTCATGTACTTTCAAAGTACAAGTCTTTAAACATTTGTTTGCAGGCTTCAATGAGATCGTAACTTCCTAAAGTATCTCAGCTGAACACAACCGAGGAGGTCTCACTTTCAAGTTCCTGTTGAAATAATGATACACCGTGCGTTTGACAACGTTTATACCATTTACTTGACAGTTGAGGCTGGAGTCAGCATGTGCTCATGTGTGCCGCTAATGACTGAAAAGAGTTTCCTGACAGCTGATCACCGGTCTGTGCCACAGAGCTCACTGAAATACCACAGAAATGTCACCGCTCAACGGCACGTTCGCATTGTTTGGGGAAGATTGCCGGGTTCATCCCAAGTAGCATGAAACTTGTTGGCAGGAAGAAAAGGAGAGCGGTGAAGAAAGACGAGGGGTCCCCTGGCAGCTGTTTCTCACACAAACAGCAGACCGAGCACATCAGAGGCCACGGCTGACAAAAACGCAAAGACGAGGGATGAGATGGGAATAACAAGCAGATCATGTTTATGGATAGCGGCGTGTATCCCACATTTCTGATTGCCGCGAGCATGCGTGAGAGGATTCTGTATCTGCTGGCTGCGAGCCACAGACAAAGGGTGACTCCTGGGGCCAACTTCAGGTGGCCCCTCAGGAAAAATAAAACTGAGAGAAGCACGAAGGCAACACACTCATACTTCTCTTAAGCAAAAACACTTCAACACACACACCTTTCTTCTTTTACTCATTTCCACTTCAAGGGACTGGCCTGCTGGTTACAGCAGCAGCAGGCTCTATTCTCTCCTCCCACACATTCACTCCGTACGTTCACCTAGCTCTTCATCTTGGAGAAGGAGACTAGACTTTGGAGCCCAAAGGACTCAGACTCAGAGGGAAGTGATTTAATGAAAGCCTCGATGACTGCATGTTGCAGCATATTGCTTCACTATGGGATCACAGTGGAGGGCAGTGTGGAAGTTACTGTACTACCACCCACCAGACGAGAAGATGTGAGCAGGGATGTTAAAGTATGACGTGGCCCTTCAACGGAGCATTAGCATTGTGTCAGTGAGTGCCATGATTTCATAGAGAACATCACAGATGAGCTGGAAAATGACAGAGATGCTCTTTTCTTAAATTCCACCGGGGCCATAGAGTTTTAATGCAACACTGTGTAAAACCAGTGAGAAGATATTTGTCAATGAAACCAAAGCTTGAATTGGAATAAAATTAGGAGTTGGTGCACAAGACCAGAAGCCTACATATATAGCATGAAAATGTACAAGCAGTATTTAAAGAAGACTTGTGCAGTGCCTGTTATAAACCTGCCTGTTTTGAATTGGCTGTTTATTTGGCCTGTGGTGATGCTGGTTGCAGTGTTCTACCTGAAACTGTGAAAGTGACCAAGCAGCAAGTACAGACCACTGCAGGACTCTGTCTGCAGAACCCTGAAGCTGCACCACCGTTGCTGCAGAGCTGTTCACCTGTTTAACCAAAGTTCAGTGAAGCTCAACCACGCTGAACCCTGAAGAATCAGTTGCTGTTGTCAGGAACCCACTTTTGTTGTGATTGATAACATCACTTTTGTTCATGAGTCGTGAGTCGTGCATGAGCCACTGCTGCTTCAGAGAACTTCTCACCTGTTTATTCAAGCTTATTAATACTGAAAATGTACCAAATTCGACACTGCACTTCCTCAGGAAATAACCAAAAGTCCCTCAAATCTCATTGTTTTTCCAAGTTGTTCTTGGACTTGTACGTGTATGTCTCCTCTTTTTCATCTTGAAATATTTGCATCCTTTTATTTATTTCAGTTTTGCATCTGTCAGAGTGTTGGATTATTTGCTGAACTTTTACATCCAAACTGTACCAAGATAAAGGGACAAATAACATTTTTCACACGAGGACCAGGACTTTACACAGCCTCACATTCACCTGCATGCACGCTGCCATGTAAAGAATGAGGTGGACAGATACAGTGTATCTAGCTCTGCCATTATGTTACAGCAGCGAGCGATGCCCCAGTTTCAGCATAGAGTGGGACCCATCGCTGAATTATTTTGCCCCATCACTGTTTTTATTTCCTGCGCAGGGGAAACTGGGACAGAAAGCAGCATGCAGCCATTTACAATTCAATTCTGCCTGGATGAATGTCAACGATACAACTGCATTTAAGCACCGTAAACGAGGAGGAAAAGCCAGAGATAACAGAAATCACAGAGTATCTGCAAAAGTCCATTATCACAGTGTTGACTCACTGAAGAGCTGGAAAGGAGAGGAAAAAGAGCCAGGATGAAGTAATCATACTCTCAGCCAATCAGATCCTCTGTTGGCGTGTGTGAGTTCCATTAGCCCCTGACCTCACCTATTGCTCATCGCCTCATCATGAAAATGTTCTCGCCTATTGGATTTACTCAGGCTTTTAACAGTGAAGAGCTCCTGGCTGGAAGCAAACTACTTAGACTGAAATGGAAGTAGGCCATAATGTTGTAGTCAATATGTAACATAGTCAGGCACAGGGAGGTAATCCATCTCTGCAGCACACACTGCTGATTTCTCCACTAATCAATCTACTGATCATAGAAAAGCATGGGGAGCATTAGCTGTCTTTACTTCATGGTTGATTGGAAATATCACGTTATCTGTTATACTTAATCTGCTTTCTGGGATTTTAGATTTTGTATTTTGTCTTTGATTTATGATGTTTTTGTATTACTTTGATTGATGTCTGTGATGTGTTCTTTTTATTATTATTAATAGAAAACAGATACAGATTGATAGAAACAGAAAATAATTAAAAATACTCACAAAAACATGTTGCTACACTTACTTGAGGTGGTCTCTAACTTCTTCGAAAGAGATGAAAAACATCTTTTGAGATATTGAATATTGAGCTCATATGACTGACCATTTTCTTCTTGAGAAGAGGCCAATATAAAAGAATTATCGCACACTGAAAAAGAAAGAAAACCATCTCTGCAGTTCTTGATTTGGATAGTTTCTTTTCATGTTCTCTGAGGTTTTATTGGTGGTTGGCAAACAATTAGTTTTGTTTCCAGTTTTGTCTCCAACCTCGACGTCTCCTACTATTTATCACAGTGTAGCTTATACGAGTGTTTCCCTGTAAAAGTACAGAGAACGGGAACACACACCAGGCCGGAAAAAGTTTTTTAAATGACAAAAAAAGTAAAGCTAGTGAAGTAACAAGCAGTGAATTCTCTTCCTCATGATGCCATGAGGAAATTTTCTCCAAGTCAAGGAAGATAGAGTTCAGCAAAGAATCATGACTCTCCTAATGATCTGACATTTTTGCAAAGGTCATGGGTCACAGCTTATTTTTATGCAATAAAATATTTCTCTAACAGTTTTTAGTAATTTTTTTTTTGCTTTAGACCTGAAAAGAAAATTCATAGAGATACGCTGTATTTTCTTCATACCAGTCGATGGAAACAGTCCTAATGTGCAATGTTTTGCGACATTTGAAAAGTTTGCTTCAGATTTGCTTGATGATTTCATGAACACGTGGCTGGTGGAATAAAAGGCTGTGATGGGAATTGTATAGGACAAGGGGAGTGAAGTGGAGATACATGTTGTCTCTGCACACAATGAGCTCTGCTGAGGGTGACAGTGGCAGGCTGTGCCATGCTGGCCCACATAAAGTCACAGTTTCCCCCCCGAGGGTTGATTTCCACAGAGCGGAGAGGAATCCACATATCAGACCCGACTCTCTACATCTCTTTCTATTCTCATCATTCTCAGATTATTCTTGTCTAGAGCTGTTCACCAACAAACCCAAGTTAAGTCATTACTCTATAAAGGCGGCCTTCTGGCTGTCACATCTGTGGGATCTGTACTCTGTGGCAGCAGAAAGACACCAGCTCTGTGAATGTGATTAGGAAGCTTCAATAGCCCCAACAATGTTCTCCCTCATCTCCACATTCAAAGGATTTTAGAAATGAATTGGCTCACATGCAGATTGAAAGCCTGATTTCTGCGAGGAGATCATTTGTTTGACAATGATGAATTATTTTTTAACCAATTTGTTATTTATGATTAAGTTTGAGTAATATGTCAATTATCAAGCCTCAATTTGTATTTCTTTGTCGTACGGGTTTGATGAAAAAATAAATTTTTTAATAAATGCATTGGTCTATAGGACGTTATTATGTCATATTGTATTGGAAAATTTTTTTACTCTCCAATATCAGTTTTGGCAAAAATCCATATCAGCTGGGCTCTAGTTTTGTGTTTTTGGTTTTGGAGAATATGAGAATCTTATAAATATACTCTATGCACCAACAGTCTCTCTCATATGTTGGTAACTATGACTACACCCAGTCTAATATATTCGAGTCATCACTGTGGACTGGGGGACCCTGTGCAGACAGCTGAGAGTAATGGCCAACTCTGCGGGATCCCTGGAGTGCACAGTGACAGTGACAGTGAGGACAAAGTGAGAGTATAACTTCACCAACTGTTTATGGCCACATCTTATCACCTCCACCAGGGAGCTCAAACAACTGAAAAGACAGGTTGAGCGATTATCTACTTTTACTGAAAATAATCTATTGACAATGTAAACACACAGGCGACCTTTCACTTGTAAGAGACACAGCCCTCCTTACCCAGCGTGTCTTTGATGTTCTTCACCAGCGAGCCTTTCTTCAGGCTGTTCTTGCGTTCTACGTAGTTTGATGGCACATAACCCGTTTGGTTGGCAGCGTTACGAACACGCCACCAGGTCTTTGAGTCGTCTAGGAGGAAGAGACGCTCATTTTTTCGGATGTCAAGTTCCTGGTCCTGCTGGGCCGTGTACTCCCACTTGGCTACAACAATCACCTCCTCTGTCATCTTTCATGGAGTCCCCCTGTGGAGAGGAAGAAGAGTGGGGTGAGCCGAGGAGTAGGACAATAGGGTCTGAATTTTCACAGGTGAACAACGCAGCAAGAGACACGCTTAACACAACGGGCAAATCTTCTCAGTGTTTGGGCGAGAGGTGTCTGAGTAGAGCGTGAAGGAGGCAGGACATAAATCATGTTATTGTTTACAGCACATCGCTGAATCTATCAAATTATCACCAAACACTCTCCAATCTCGTCTTTCCAAATTGTCATCTTCATCTGCATCTTCTATGTGTATGGCACCTCTTTGTCTTTTCTTTTTGTTTGAGTCATCAATACACATTTTCCTACTGTATTCTCACAGGGCTGACTCAGACATTTCACCAGGAGGCAGGAAAAATTGTTGAGAGTGTCCTGAGAAACTAACTGGGACCACACCGTCAAACAGCCGCTAGATAGCAATAGTTGATAATGACAATTTGAATAATTCACATTTTAAAATATTCAAGGTAAAAAGTTGTTCATTGGTTCCTTATTAAATTAGAAACTACAACATATACCCACTACACAACATTTAAATATGTATTTGTATTAATATTTTTGTAGTACAGGGTAATTTTGAGGTGTGTGTTTGTGTTTGTGTGTATGTGTGTGTGTGTGTGAGGATCAGTATTACTGTGACAAATGACAAGTCATTACAGAATAATCCACATCTATCCAAGCACAACATTTTTAAACCGCTTATCCCGGCTCACATTGGGCATTAGATAGGATGCATCCTGGACAGGTTGCTAGTTCATCACAAGGCTAAATTACACAACCGGGCTAAATATGAGTTTAAGGTTAGTGATAATATCCAGTGTGCCTGGACTGGCACTGATGCTGATAATTCCTTGTATGAAGATTAAAGCAGAATCTCACATTGCTGACCACAGCTGAAGGACACAGCTGAAAATATGAGGAAGCAAACAGGATTTCAGGAAAGAGACGAACGCAAGATTCAGCACCAAAAAGGCAAATCTGAGAAAGGTTCTTTGGTAGAGAGCAGCGCAAACACACAAAATCAATTTATGTGCTCATTCTGCATGCTTTCTGTCTGACACACACACACACACACACACACACACACACACACAGCCTTGTCTATTAGTTTTTGAGACAGACAATGAGCAATTGCATGCTCTATTTCACCCAGCCTTAGGTGAGTTGATTTGACGTGGGTTGGCTGGGTTCTCCTCAACTTCTGAGAAATAACATGTATCTGTTCAGGAGGAAGCCAAATGGAAAACTATTCTGGGTAAATGCATGAAGAGATTTGGGGGAAGTTTGTTGTGATTTAGTTTATTCCTGTTCCTGAAAAACCTCTTCTGTGATAGAAGCCGTCTCACAGTGTGAGAACCATGCGAGCAATCCAGTTTAAATTTAGCCGACTCCCAAGTTCACAGTCTGCAGCTGGAAACCAGATCAGTGGAATAAGTGAAAGAAGAAAAAATTGGTGCAGATAAACAAATACAGGCTTTCAGGAAGATAAGGGTGGGTTCACAGATATTGGATGAATTGTCGGTGTATAGTTTTTGTGTTGCTGATCATTCAGTCAAGAATAATCTGTCTATATGGCCTCTGATCTCATGCATGTCTATCAGGGGTATCGTGGGACAGCAGCGACGCCCCTCAGGAGCCAAACCTGACATTTTAGAGATCCTCCATATCACAGTTACACTTATTATAGAGCTGTTCAATAATGGTGACAGGTCCTTATACATTACATGTAATGTTTCCAAATAAAACCCCTGCTGAGTCAAACTCAGTGAACTGGAAATATAGCACTTATAACTGTGTGTGGGTGAGTGTAGTCATAGTCATGCATCTTAGGTATTTGTGCACAGAAATGTTTCCACATCTCAGATTTAAGACAAATGTAAAATTCCCTTACTCATATTGTGGTTTAGGTTTTATTCTTTGATTTTAAATGACAAAACGCAAGATTTGTTTTGGGCTATACTCAGGCTCCCCCTGCAGGTGGGATGTGTAATTCACTGACGTAAATTCGGAAAAGAAGAAAAGCAACCTCAGATGCCAAAGAAACCATGACGATTGACAAGGTAGCAACTTTTTTTCAAATATGTTCCTTTCATTTGCTGTGATAATTGAGATGAAAACTAACAGGACTGAGAGAAGAATGACAGCGTTTTAGTTACGCTGTAATACTGCTCATGTTTGGTTATGAATCTCTTGTCAAACAACAACACCACCACGGCATCTGTCCTGCATCCTTAGGCTTCTTTTAGCTCTCACCAATGAGTGAAATATGCTCCGATATTCACAATTTCTTATTCAACCAATGTCTCTTCATTGTTTCCTCCAACAATGTCTTCTTTGGTTTCTTTGTCGGCTCTGCCATGATGTCCACACTGAGAATGGCAAGCTCCTGTTGTGGGTGTGATATATGCCGTAATGTTCCAGCGCAGTATACCAGAGTTACATGGGGCAATCCTGACAGACATTCTCCCCATTACAAGTTCATATACCATCAAAATGATTTTTATGTTTAAGTGCAGTTGCACAAATATAAGAAAAGATTCTGATATCTTCAGCGTGTCGGCTTTATTTCTTGAAAAACAAATGGGAACACTCTGGATGTTTTTCAGCTGAAGACATTTAATTCTTCAGTAAGACCACAACAACAGAACAGACTTTACTGACCACATTCTTACATTTACTTTCACAACCACAGGCAGGACTGTGCCTCTTACCAACTTCCTATCACCACCATACGTAGAAAATTCATGTTCAACAGTTACTGCAGAAAAGCATCGCGCTTGTGAATGGGCCCCTGCTTGCCGTCACCAAAGTCGTCAAACTGGATTTCTTCACAGGCCGGGACAGGGACAGCAGAGGTAGAGGAGACTTGCGCAACACCAGGGGAAATTATGTCAAGTTCCCTGTAAGTGAAGTCGCTCAGAGACATGACAGAGGCAGCAGGAGGGAGAAGATGGAGGGGTCAGTCTGACATTCAGGGAGGGACAGAGGCGCAGCAGCTGTGACTCTCTGGGGAGTGCAGGCGATAGAAATGGAAGGGCAGATTTATGACAAGATGAGGAATGGTGACGTCAACGCTTCCTGGAGACAGGAGGTATGTGGTAGTCTCTACCCGCCTCAGGCTACAGCTGCTGGATTAGACCGGGCTACCTCTTTTCATTTTATTACATTTATTCCTCCTGGTGCGGATGAGTGGATGAGAAAATCTGGTGAAGCCTGATGGGAATATGCACCATGGCATTTGAGATATTGAAATATAAAGCAGCTCAGAAGTGCTCAGTGGAATTAATCTGACCCTGTTTTTGGGATTCCCTCCCGTTTCATTTTCCTCCTCTGCACAGCAGTGATTCTTGCTGTCATACAGGCCTCCAGGCTCAAGGTCACTCTCACACCTGTAGTGTGATTCAGTTGGTCTGAAGCGAGTAAAAACAATCATGTTGGTGCCTTGTAGTTCTGATGTTTATGTTCATGCTGGTTTTTCTTTTTTTCAGTTATTTTACAGTTGTGAGTGGGCATTGAGACTGTTGGTCGTTTTGTTCTTAATATGTTAAAGGCTTAATCCAGGAAATGTCCACACCCAATATTCCAAACATTTCAGAGTTAATGCTTACCTGAACCAAACAGCCAAATGCACCAGATGCCTTTCAAACCAATAAAACACTTTAGGCGTAAAAAACACATGAAAAAATACCTTTAACCATTCCTAGTTTAGTGATGTATCTTTTCCCTTGTGGCTCCATGTAAATTGGCAGAATAACGTCTTTTCTCCCATCATAGCATGATACTGTGCCTCCCCTCATCTACGATATCAATTTCTCCGTCTCCTTGACAACCTAGCTCATTAGGCAGACTGATGGGAATGCCACTCCAAGTCAAGTCGATCTTCCTTTGTGGGCAATCATGTGTGTCAACGTGGCAGCAATACCATTGCTCATTCAGACACCAGAAAACGTGGGTCGACATTAAATCCATTAAACAAGCTTGTATAGAAATCAATGCAACAGTCTCTTTTAAAACTATGCTTCAATCAGCTGTGAGTAAAAAGTTAAAAAAGACAATTTAATGATGCATTTTACTCATGTCATCAGAGCCATTATCTCACTTTCCTTGAAATGTTTAAAAATGTATCTGGTGATTTAACAAAAGCAGCTTTTCCCATGAGGCTACACACAACACACGAGAGAAAACAAACCGATTTGGCCTAGAGTTGAGTTTAAAAAGGGAAAAGCCTGCAAGCTCACGCTCTTGATGACCTCTCCATTCCTCTGCTGAGAGTTAAAAGAGGAAAGATGAGTGACAGACTGCTGAGCTGGGCTTCACCAGCACTTCAAAACTCCCTTCAGTGAGGGGGGAAGTTTGGAGCCTCTTTCAACACCACACAAAGAGAAAAGGAAAGTAAAAGAGGATTATAAAAAAAAAAAGAGGGGATGTTTAAAGAAAAAAGAAAATGTCTGGCAGAGCTTTCTGTGTTTGGCATTCAGGTCAAAGACAGGCAGGATTCAGCCAATAGGAAAACATTTCCACCTCCCCCAGCCACTTCACACTATTTGCAGTAGTTACTTCTCACAGGAAGGACGACTGCTTTACTCCCAACTGGCTGTCAGTGTCTGAAGCATTTGAAGTGACAAAGACTGAAACACGAGGAAGTCAGACTAAGTGTTACGGCCACTGTGCACAAGCTTCTGTAAGTTTTAAAAGGCTCAATGTTCTCTAACAAAGAAACACACCACAGCAGAGTCAGTCAATGGAGTCAATGCTAACAATGTTTCAGCCACATCGCACACAATGTAAACAGGTAATATTTTATGACTCAAACAAGCATACATACTTAAACTGTTTTCAGACATGAACTTCGGACATTTTTCAGAAAATTAGGTCAGGACGTTTTCCAGAGTTTCTCCTTTACGTATGAAGATGGTGATATCACCACACACCATGTGCCTGTGCGTTTGAACACAGAAGAGAATTCAAACTCTAATCCAGAGAG